AGGGAGGAATGGGAATGAGACAGGGGAAGGCAGGGAAGGATGCAAGGAGGGAAACAGGAAGGAAGGAAGGAAGAGAAGGAAGGAGATGGGAATGAGAAAGGAGGAGGCAGGGAAGGAGGGAGGGAAACAGAAAAGAGAGAAGGAGATGGGAATGAGAAAGAGGGAGGCAGGGGAAGAAGGGAAACAGAGAGGGGAAGGAAGGAGATGGGAATGCGAAAAAGTGGTACAATCAGTGAAAAGGTTGAAAAGCCCTGCTTTAGAGCAGGAGTCCCCCAACCCCTGGTCCATGGACCGGCACCGGTCCACAGCATGCCAGCAAGCAGGCCGCATAAACAAGCAAAGCTCCATCCTCGGGATGCAGGCAGTATTCAAAACCACGCCCCCTCCGGTCCGCGGAAAAACCTTTCTCCATGGCACCAGTCCCTGGTGCCCAAAAGGTCGGTGACTTCTGCTTTAAAGGACCTCTGCTTAGTCCAATGGACACTACACTGAGAAACATATAAGAGTCCAAATTCCTATTTTGCTATCAACATTTATATAAAACTGTTTAGTAAGATGATCAGAACTTTTGTGGCTGGATGGTAATTAATATGTAATAACAGCAAGCTCCATCCCTAGTATCAGTCAGAAGTAGTGTAGATATTGGAATGATATTTCAACACTGTCATCTCCTATATGAGATCAAATCAGTTGAAGCTGGATTTCACCAAGAACTGGAGCACTGTGAGATGATGACACACTATTTCTTCATTAGGAACTCCACCTATTCGAATACTCCCATCAGCCTCTATCACTCTATCATTACTCAAGTGTCATCCTCTTACTCCTCAAACTTCTGCCCTTTTCCATTTGAACAGCTGGCAGGTGCCACAGTCAGAACGTGTGACCTGTCAGGCAGTCTTGACTTATAAAATTATTACAAATGAAAATGTTGAAGGATATGTCAACATATGTCATCTACTTATTTCCATGACTATTTTGTATCTGAATAGCCCGTTCAATGATTCAAGGGAAGTTGATGATTTTAGTTGCATGAAAGAACACCACAAATATTTAATTGTCTTTGACTATCATTATGGGAAATTTGGATATGCAGCAGTGTAACATACCTTTTCTCAGTTTTCATGTGATTTTTGAAACATATTTCTCATAAAATTGAGGGTTTTTTAGTACTTTATTTGCCCATTTGCCTGGTGTCCATACTTCAACACCTTTCTAACTACAACTCTTATGCTGCATTAAAGATATGGCTTTATGGGACTATATAGGCTACTGTATTTTCTCAAACAAAAATCAAATGGATATACTAAAACGGAATATATAGTTCTGAGAGCTTGCTTCAAAATGAGCAAAAATCATCAATGGTTCAAGAGTTGAAACTAAGAAATACCATTCATTTGTAAATGCAGGGCTTTTTTTGTCATAGAACGCCCAGAACGGAGTTCTAGCACCTTTTTTGGATGGAACCTTGTAGGGTAGGCAAGGTGGGTTGTATGACGTGTGTGAGTTCCGGCACTTTTTTTTTTTTTTTACATGTCCTATATTTTTCCTTTGTTTACTGGCTTTCAGTTGCAGGCTATCAAGAACATACATTTTTCCTGAAGCTTGCCAATTTGTATCATAAATTTATTCCTAATTTTGCTGCACAAACTACACCCACTGACTCATCTTACCAAGGGGCTACATTCTGAATGGGATTCCAACACACTAATAAACTTTTCTTCTTCTCAACAGGAATTAATCTTTTAGATACCCTCTATCATCCAGATCAGGGTGACATTTCCCATTTTCCCTTGGGATCTGTACTTTTATAGTCCAAGTTGAGGGCACTCTCTGCCAATATTTTCAGGCAAATATTTTTACATGAAAGTTACTAGGATAATTGTGGCCTTTAAAGAAGTCTTTTAGCAAAGGGGCCATCTCCTCAAAGAAGATCCAAACTGACCACAATTTGGAACAGACTTCTCACAAATTCATAGCTTAGGTGGGCACATTCTTTTCCTCATTTTAACTTTCATTTCTTACGTTCCTAGATTGCAGAATAAACTAGTGGATAATTTATCATCTAAACCAATCCTTATCCCCTCTCCGTTCTGCACCTGGAAAACTTTCTCCTCTTTTCCTTGGCATCTGGTTCACTCTGGAAAACTCGGGACTGGAAGGAAAGTTCTTTCCCTATCTGATCAAATCTGCACTGAGCTAGAGCAGGATCCGTATGTACAGACTCAGTTAGATGATCTTCAGGCAATGGGGAGAATGACATCACAACAATTGGTTAGAGTTCTTCCTTCCTTGAAGAAAGATCTCTCGCTGCTCTGCCAGGATAACTGGCCAGTTGGACATTATGGAATATTTTAAATGATCCATTTCCTCCTCCATGACTTTTCAAACGCTCAAATTAGAGCAAATTTCAATGCCAATGTTTCTTTTTCACATTCAGCAGCATGACAAGTTTTCAGCCAACAAATTAGCTTGACATTACATCCCCCCTCCTTCCCATAGAGGCTTTGGCATACAGTTTCCCTGGCATCTATTAGTAACCGACTATGTATGAAGAGTCTAGATGCAAGCTTCCAGGTGAATGGCTTCAATTTTTGAAGACGCAGAGATGTGTATAAAGTTGAGAGAAGAGGAAATGAAAGAGAATAGTGATTTGCTTAATATGTGTAAGACCAGCATATCTGCCTGATGATTGGAGGACTGTCATTATTGTTTCCTTTCATGGGTAGCAAGAAGGAATGCTAAAAAATTAGTAGGAGATTCATTTGTTAAGTATGCTTGAGAAATTGTTTAGAATATTCTGATTATATTATATTCTGATTAAAAGGATTCAAGAGGTAGCAATGAGTAAACATTTGGGAACTGCCATGGAGATATTTATGTTTTACTCTTGTTTACCTGTTTTTACTTGCAGGCTATCTGCTATAAAAGAAAACACAAAACATGAAATATAATTCATTCACTAATTTTTAATAACCAAAACAAATGAAAATAAAAAACAGTAATAACTTATTTATCAGGTAAAGTTTGCTTACCAGGTAAGCAAACAATTGCAAGTAGTCTTCAAACTGCACAAAAGCAGATGACGAACAGAGATCCTTCAATCCTTTTCCCTAGTGCTTAGAAACTACGTCTTTGCCTCTGTATTTTGTACATGGCACCCACCCTATCTAACCCTATCTACAAACAGCAAAGTATTCCTGCTATTGTACTGACCAGGCTAGTTTTCTATTTTAAAAAAAAAATCCAATCCCAAAATACAAAAATAAAATTCAAGCATGGAAACATTCATTCAAAGCAGCCAAGGTTTATTTTAGATGCAGAACAGAACTATTTAATGCTAACTCAAATTAAACTCCCAGATCATTACTGTCTTTTCAAACTTGGGATATCTGAAGTAGCCATTCTAGGTTCCAAACAGTGCTCTCCATATGTTTGCACAACTTTTATGTGCTGTGTACCTTAAATTAAATTGAATATATATATTCTAGAAGTATGGGTCTGCATGTGAACACTACATGAAAAAATACCACATGCCGTAGATACCAAATTGATAATTATAAGCACAGAAATTCATCATGCAAGTCTTCCTCCACTTCGTTTTCATTGGACATGTATATCCTAAAACTGAACTGTATAAGCCATTAGTTAATGCAGAACTTGTTTTCTTGCTAACCTATAATTAATATTGAAAACTGTTTCAAAATGAGAAACATAATGACGAGGCCTGTTCCTCTAATAATCAACAATTGCCTATATAGCATACAATGTATACACATTCACTCCTTCCCCAAAATCTCACTTGTTTAAGTAGGGTTTTTTTTCTAATAATGCATATATAAGATGGCACCCTGCATTTACAATTCTAAAAAGTGTATTTTCTAGGAAATACTGAAACCTTTTCCTGTCACTTTGGCTTAACGCGTCAGTGCTGGCCCTTCAACCCTCTCTGAAGGGTTGTTGCCTTTTTTCGTCGTCCTTGTTCGCTCTTTTCCCCCTTTGAACAGCTCAGACCTGATTAAAAAATTAGTTCACCAGGTTGATTGCGATTTCCTCATAAGCGAAATACGCGAAGGCGGGCTGTCACTCATCGCAGTTACCTTTTAAAATGCAGCGGGCTTGACGTGTAAATCAACATGCTGCTTATAAAAACCAAACCCAAAAATAATAATAATAATAATAATTTAAAAAACCGTAGCCTGCAGAGTGCAAAACAAGAAACCGAAAAGGAAAAAAGAAAGTAAGGTAGGGAAGAAAAAAGAAACTGTAATGGAAAGGGGCACGTCTGGAGAGGGGGAAAAAAAATAAAAGGAGGCGGTGGTGGAGGCCCTGCCGGGGGCTGCAGTTGCTGTTCTCAGTCAACAGGTTGCACCGTTCCCCCTCGGCTGCCCCGCAATGCGCGAGCTCGTGCGCTCGCGCGCCCGCAGGCGCCTTCCCTGCGCGCGCTCCCCCGCCCTGCCGCGTCTCTGCTCTCTTTCCCTGTCTGGGGGAGGGAGGGGGGAAAGACGGAGGAGGAGGAGGAGGAGGAAGAGGAGGCGGAGGCTGCCGCTGCTGCGGCTGCTGCTAGCACGGTCGTAGTCCTCCATTTTGTGGCTGGGGCGAACCGTAGAGCTGAGCGCAGACGGAGTGGCTGGCGGGGGGAGGAGGAAGAGGAGGAGGAAGAAAAAGAGGAGGAGGCGGAGGCGGAGGAGGAGGGGAAGAAGAAGGGGAGGGCGGGACGCCCGTGCAGAGGGAGGCGGGGGAGACGTGGAGAAGGAGAGGAGGGAGAAAGTGTGACTTTAATTAATCGCGGGGGGGGGGGGCAGAAGTGTGTGCGTGTGCTGCACGCGAGCTGGGGTGGGTGGGAGAGGAGCAGGTGAGGGGCTGCGGCTGTGCGTGTGTGTATGTGCGTGCGTGTGTGTAGGAGCGCGGTCCGCCTGTCAGTGTGCGTGTGGGGAGGAGAGGGAGGGGGCGGCTGCTTACCTCCTCATCTGCAAAGGGGCGGCTGCTTTCACCCCCCACCCCACACCCAATCCCGTCGCCCCGTAACTCTGCTTCCTTCCAGTCCCCACCAAGTTGTTTATTTGCTTCGCTGCGTGCTGGAGCCATGGAAGTTGGTGGTTAGGAGGACTCCCAGCGCCCCCACTGGATACGGTAAGGGGTGTCTTCTTTTTTTCAAACCCCCCCCCCCCCCCCTTTAGGTGTGGGCCGAGGGAGGAATGGTTTCTACTTTTAGGCTCTGTCCCTCTCGAAGGGAGGTGCGCGGCCGAAGCGGCGGCCGAGTGCTTTTTCTGTAGAGGTCACCCTCCACCCTGTCAGTAACGTCTCCCCCCCCCCCACTCCCGCCATTAAGATCTAGCGGCTGGCTGCCGAGTGGTGAGGCCAGAGAAGGGTGGCAGCCCCTTCCCTCGATCCGTTGCGTCGCTTAACTTTAAAGTCCTCCTCATTAAATTGGGACTAGGGAGAAGGCTCTGGTGTGGTTTAAAATAACGTTCGTATATGTACGCATCTATATCTATAACGTAGACGGGGGGGAGGAGAGCGATTTCCTATTCTGTTCCACAACCATCTTTGGCTCCTTTTTAATCCCAGAAAGAGAATGTCCAAAATAGGCTGTCTTCTCGGAAAGGAACGATTTTAAGTTTGCAAGCCTGTTATCTGTTTACTTAGGAGTAAGGGACTCTGAATTCAACGGACTTTCTCCTGATAGACGTGTATGGGACTGCGCTGCAAAAGTAGTATAAATCTTATGTAATGGGTTCCTCCCTCTACTTTATCTTCCCCGCGACTTTAAAAAAAAAAAAAGTCTATTTGCAAGGTTTGGGGCTTTTTTTAAAAAAAAAAACACGTTTACTTTTTTTTAAAAAAAGTATGCTATCGCCTCCCTTTTGTTCCCCCTTTTTTTTTATTTTGGCGGCCCCATGGATTGGAAACAGACAAGGAGTTGAAAACTTGGACTTGGTTGGAATTCTTTTTTTTTTTAAGCAAAGGGCTGATGTTATTTTGCAGAAGTGGGCGTGCCAGGCAAATGCTCAACAGGTCCCGACACATTTTTTCTTTCTTTTTTTTCATCTTTACAAGAAGGAGAATTTCAACTCAAAAAAAGATTAAATATCTTTGGAGTTGCTTTTTTCTCTTCCAGCAAATGAATCACATGATAAGATTTATCCCTTTTGGCGTTGCCTGTCATATAATGACAAGGAGAGAAACTTGTCAAATGTGGTAACTCCGGTTCTTTTTCTGTCCTTCCCTCTTTTTTTTTTACTTTTAGAGCTATGTTATGGTGTGGATCTTTTAAAATTGTGCAATTCTTTTTGTCAAAGCCCAAAAAGAATTTTAAAAGTTTCATGCAACTTTTGAGGAGGATATACAGAATTGGCTGTGTCATTTGTATATGTTGCCTTTTTGTTTATTGTAAGTCGCCTTTTGGCCATTCATAAATACGCCTAGGCAGTTTCATGAATTTCTGGAAAATCTGTGCAAATATGTTAAGGATAGATAAATGTTACTATAATAATTTTTGGTATTTTAAGAATAAGATCTTATTTCTAAAATTACGATTTCTAAATAAACAGCCATACTAATGAAAGTTAAGAGTAGATCATACTGACAAATTTGGATAATGAATGGATGATGGATACAAATGCAACAATATTTAAATAGACCTGAGAGAGATTTCTTGAAAATAAAATAATTTAGGAAAGGTATACAAACAAAGTTACTTTTTGTTTTACTATTTATAAACAGCCTTTAATTTGACATGAATTAAATGCTATATTAAATAGCTAATTTGGGGTTTTTTTTTGTTTGATTATATTAGACAAATATTATTTGATTAAATTAAGATAACTTTCAAGCCATCGGGGTGCTTTGTATTAGAAATATTATTTAAGAGACATTGGGAACTATTAAGTCTATCTTTTTAATATTCTTTTCTTGGGGTCAGTACTTATACTTCTGATCTCAGGCTAATGGTGGTTTCTTTTGTTTTTTTTTATTAGTATTAAAATAATGGAGCCCAAAGAATCATTGAAATCCACTGGAAGGGAGGAAAGAGGGAAAAGTGTTCACTTTCATCCATCCTTTAGGGGTGGTGCTTCTGTCAAGACTCCAGTATCTACATCTACCCTGTCTGCCTCTTCTCAATCTGACTCCAAGCAACCTGTTCGGTGTGACTTGCCAAAAGGGTTAGGAAGCAATGTGCCACAGCCGGATCTCTCCAAAGCAGTGTCACTCTCAATGGGACTGTATATGGGTGAAACCGATACAAAAGTAATGGGAAATGAACTTGGATTTCCACAGCAAGGCCAAATCAGCCTCTCCCCTGGAGAAACAGATTTTAGACTCCTTGAAGAAAGCATAGCAAGCTTGAATAAATCCTCTAGTCTGACAGAAGGCTCGAAAGGAGTTGCATCTACTGATGTGTCCCTAGAACCAGATTTCCCAGCTATGACTAGTCGTGATCTTACTTTAAATCAAGGGTCTTTAGCACAAGGCCAAGTTGACAGTAACAGTGGCAACTTGAAGCTCTTTTCGGAAGACCAAAGCACTTTTGATATTTTGCAAGATTTTGATTTGCCCCCGGTGTCTCCTGGAAGAGAAACAAATGGAAGCCCTTGGAGAATGGATCCTGTTCTGGATGAAAGTAGCTTGCTTTCGCCTCTTGGTGGGGATGAGAGTTTTCTTTTGGAAGGAAATGAAATGGAGGATTGCAAGCCTCCCATTTTACCAGACACAAAGCCTAATATTAATGAATGTGAGGATCTTTTGTCAAGTTCTACAATGCAGATGCCACAAGTGAAAACTGAAAAAGAAGATTTTATTGAATTGTGTACCCCTGGAGTAATAAAGCAGGAGAAAATGGGCACAGCTTACTGCCAGGCTACTTTTTCTGGGTCAAGGATGGTTGGAACTAAAACATCTGCCATTTCTGTTCATGGTGTTAGTACTTCTGGAGGACAAGTTTACCACTATGATTTGAACACTGCGTCTGTCACTCAACAGCAGGATAAGAAACCAGTTTTCAATGCCATTCCATCTCATTCTGCTAGTTCAGAAAATTGGAATAGGTGCCAGGGATCTGGAGATGATGCCCTTGCGCCATTGGGGGCTTTGAATTTTTCAAACAGATCTGTCTTCTCTAATGGATATTCAAGGTAAGATACATTTTTTCTATTTAAACTTAATAGAATGCTTCTATGTAATATGAAGGTAGTAATGTTCATTATTTACTTCATTGAAAAATAGGCTATATGCAGTGCGGGTCAAGTCATTGCAAGTTTACATTTTATAATTATAATAAAGGAGAAAAAATAAAAATGGCTACTTTGCCATTCAGGTTACTTTTTAACTAAAGACAATAAATTAGTTTCAATTTTCATTAGTTTCAGCATTCAATTCAATATTGCATTGGTTCTCATTATATCTTATTGAACAAAAATCTATTTTATTCTTTACTCATTTTATAAATATAAAGCCTAGGATTTTTATAGTAGGATTTAAATTTTAATACTGAACGTAAGTAAATTTTGGACAATGTGCAGATTAAGCTATGGGAAATAGTATTTTTGTCACTGCTAACTGTGGAAAAAATGTTGGATATACATTCAGATGTATTAAATTTGTCGCTGTCATCTAACAATTTCAATTCTATATTGTTACATCCTTTTTCCTGTAAGATTAAATCTTCATTTAATGTTTTAATCTATATTTAAGTGATTTCAGGCAGCTATATTCTAACAGAAGTTTCATCTTTAATTTTTGCAGTACTTAATTTTTTTCTTCTAACAAATGTTGGCATCTATTTTTCTTAATAAACTTGTTGTTCCTTCAAAAGTTGAGTTCTAAATGGATTTTTACTTAACCAGATATAATTTACCTGTGAGTTTGTTATTGGAATAAAATATTAAAGTATTGTATATTGAATATAGTAGTCCAGTTTTCATTGAACTATTTTGTTCTTTTGTTTTTTCGGTCTTTGTTAAGAACATAGGCACACATATGAAATAGCACAGAACATGCATCAATTTTCTACTTTCTATATGTTCTGTTTTCACTCATGACAATTACAGTGGTGGAGGAAAAGAAGAAATAGGTAGTTTGGACACTATAACACTATATAGAGAAGGGAATATTGTAATGCAATGAATATTGCTTCATATTAATTTGATTTTAAACAACAGTTTTTAAAGTAGAAACAATTTTATAGTACATACTTGTTGCAAGTTGCCTTTTATTTTCCTTTATTTTTATTATATTGTTTTGTGGTGAATTTACAACAAATCTCATGGAATTAAAATTCTGCAAATATAAGCTGCTTGCATCATTCTTTTTGTAAAAATATCAACAAAAAGAATATCCTTTAAACAGTTTATACTTTTATAGTGAAGCTATACATCTTTAGGAGGTTTATGCTAAAGACTTTTAAAATGATGATTTGGTATGTCTAAAGTTTCTGAAATGTGTATGAATTCCAAATACTTTTTGCTTTTGTTGCTTAGTTGAAGTCCCTTTTTTCTTACCTTGATTTTTATCTGATATTTAATATAAAAGATAAATTAAAATGTTTATTATAGATTGTATACTTTAATTTTTTAAAATGAAAGCAGAATTATTAATATGTTGTTCAAATTATGACTAACATCTATTAATCAATTGTTTGCAAATGAACTTCCACCTTGCTCTCTGTCCATTCCTGTGCTTCTCTAAATTTGTTTTATAGCATTCTTCAACATCTGGTGTAGCTTTAGGGTTAGAAATTGAACATGTTCCGTCCAAGGCATCTACTTTGCTAATAAATAGACAATGGAATTCAACTCCTAAAATCCCAATTACATTTAAATGTATGTTGATATGAGCTTTGGAATCTGCTACTTGAACTAGTCACCATAATAGTGGTTTTGTCTAAGAACATGACTATCACTCTTCCATTACTGGAGTGGATCACGTTTTTATTAATTTGGTATTTTGAATTGCAAGGTATGATAGGACATAGAACTTTTATGTTTTTGAATATTGTAAAAGGAACTTGTGGCTAACACAGCTTTTAAACTATGAAAATTCTTTTTTTAATATAAGACAAAAATGTTTCTTCCAATATATTATTTAAAGTAATTTATATCATTAAATTGGGTGATCTTTTTATTTTATGGGTGCACCTGTTTCTACAAAAAAAGGAGAAACATCTAAAACAAGACTTGATTACGCTATTTAAATGGGAATAATTCTAGATTTTATATACACTTTTTAAAGTTTACATTTTATATTTTTATTTTAAGCAATAAGATATACTTGGGGATAGAGGAGTACTATACATTAGTGTTTGCCCATTTCTGCCCTAGTTTATTTTTAAATATTATTTTAATAAAAACATACAAAAATGCTTAAGTAGCAAGGTGGCATATTGTAAATATCTTGCTGCTACTGATAAGAACTCCTCTGAGCCCCAAGATTATCACTTGTTGGTTCCTAGCTTTAAAATATTGAGCTCTTTTTGATTTAGTTATTAGTACCTCAGGGAGAGCTTACAGTATATAATGGGTAAAAAAGAACTTGCAGTTGTTTAATAATGTAAGAAAAAATAGAAATGAATGATGAAATGGAAATGGAAAAGCAAGAACAAAATTGGAAAAGCAAGAGTACTTCTGCTAGAGAATACAAAATATGAATGATGTTTCTCAATGCTTTTTTTGTAAAAAAAAAAAAAAAAAAGTGCCGGAACTCACACAACCCGCCTTGCCTACCCTACAAGATTCCATCCAAAAAAGGTGCCGGAACTCCGTTCTGGGCGTTCTATGACAAAAAAAGACCTGATGTTTCTTAATTCCACTGTACTGTATAGCAATATTTCCATATCAATAGAAGAGAATATATGTATCTTGGGACTGAAATGTGGAGTCCTTGGTGAAAGGTTTAGTTTGCAAACTCCATTCCCTTCTAGCACAGAAGATATTAGCTAGTTGGGTAACAAAACGTCTGCAAGAAAACAGTCAAGCTCAGAGAGCCCTAAGGACTCTATATTTCAATAGGAAATGTTATAATTTGTTTATTTGAGGCTATGAGTCATATGGGAGCTGAGCATCATTGCAGAGATTATTGTGATTCTTGAGCCTGTCGATCGGTTTGGAACAGATTGTGCTTCCTACAGGCTTTTGAGTTTCAGAATAATTCAGATTTCTGAAATTATGGAAATCAATACTGGCAAACTGGAACAACTATGTTGCTCTTTATACTTTGATTGGGAACATGAACAAAATATTAGAATCATGGTAAAATTCTACAATATTAAACAGCATGAATTAAACTAAAGCTATTTTTATGGGGTTGTCTTAAATAAGCTTTTCTATTGACATGATTTAATACGTTTTCTAAACAATGATACATATTTGGCTTCCAGACCAACTTATATAGACAAAATAGATTGTTAAAACCTATCAATGTATCTAAATCTATTTAGAGTACTTACAGTTTCTAAAATGAAGAATGATGGGAAATACCATTATTTTTAAACTGATCATTTAATATTGAATGAAACCCATACTTAAATTTGTCAGACCAGGTTTACATGCTGTCACATTAGATAATAGTATTTTGCATGCTTGCTTTCTATAGGATATAGAGAATATCATTAAAACTTTTTCACTCTATCTACAGTTAGCACCTTTTAACATCTTGTCAGGATACAAACAGGGATCTTGGAATGTCTTGTAACAATAACAGAGTTGGAAGGGACCTTTGGGGTCATCTAGTCCACCACCCTGCTCAGGCAGGAAACCCTATACCATTTCAGACAAATGGTTGTCCAGTCTCTTCTTTAAAACTTCCAGTGTTGGAGCATTCACAACTTCTGGAGGCAGGTTGTTCCACTGATTAATTGTTCTAACTGTCAGGAAATTTCTCCTTAGTTCTAGGTTGCTTCTCCCTTTGTCTTCCATTTTTCATCCTTAGTGTTTGGTTATCCAACTATGCTAGGACAAAGTTTGAAGAACTTGATCAGGAATACTTTAAACCTCTTTCAGTTCTGGAAAATCCATGTTTAGAAATATACAAACCCATTTAAACAAATTTTATTAATTTTTCAAATTTTTACATCCAGGTGCTTGGGAAGCAGCGTGGTGATAGGGTAATCAATAATCCAATAACAAAATCATTCATGTGTATCTCAGGTTACATCAATAGAAATTCCCTCTCTAATTCCCTTAAATATTATATCATATTCATATTAATAAATTTCTAACTAATGCTCAATTAAGCAAATGACCATGGTTATTAAGTGAATCCACAGCCATTAAACAAGCTCTGTGGTCATTAAACAAACTTGTTCACTATGGGGCGTTTTGCCAAAAACTGGAAGTAATTTCTAATGCATTGCATAATCTTTTAAAATAGAAAGGGGCTTTTCAGTCATGGAAAAATGGAAAGCACAAGAGAAAAAGATGGTAAATAATGTTAGTAGTAAGTTATAACATATGTGATTGTCTAAAAATAAGAAAATCCAATTGAAATCAAGGAAGAAAATAAATTTGAGATAATAGAGGTGTAAAACTCACTTGGTAGAAATATATGTTTATTTTAGATGAGGTTTCCATTGAATATTTTGAAATTGTAATTTTCCATAAGAGATAAAAGTGAAAGACAGTTAAAATAGACAATATAAAAAAATACTTTTTCATAAAATACATATCACATACAGCAACTAGTATGTTTTGGATAAAATTATAGTATTACAATTACTGTTCTGTTTATTAGTCCTAGTTAATGAACTAAGAAAAATGACATGCTTCCACGTGAATGTTTACTTGAATTACAGTAAAGTTATAACCTCATCCTTTTTACGTCTCTCAAGTTTGATGCAACAGATTGTGCTAAATCATGCAGTTCTTAGAGGCCTGCATAATTTTTAAATGCATTGAAGTTTTCCTTTGAGAGAATCAGTCTGGTGTAGTGATTAAAGGCACCAGGCTTCGAAAGGAGACTATACACCTTAGTCTTGGTAACAAAGCCAGCTGAGTGACCTTGAGCCAGTCTCTCTCAGTCCTAGGAAGAAGGCAGTGGTAGACCATTTCCAAAAACATGGCCAAGAAAACTGCAGACTTCTGCAGGCAGTCTTTGTAAATCAAGAAAAATAAATAAATTTATTATGTTTATATTATGTTAC